CTATACCGGCCTTATATAGGGCCTCAGGCCTGACTCTCCTAGTTCTACTACTCGATACTAGAGGGCGCTAGTGGTATCTAGTGTTGCCATGTACCATGTATTAAGCGTGGCGCGCAACACTGCCCCTACTAAGACATGCTCGTCCCGAGCATTATTGGCCCCATAATAACGCGCCAGTTGATCCATATGGACGATCTTAGGAGTACCTTTGACGATTGATGATTAGGCTGTTCCCATCATGGTTTTGCGAGATCGAAATCCTTGGGGTTCTTTTAACATCAGCCAGCAATCGCCCCGCAGTCCTGGCTTTTACTCGTTACCCTGCTGCTGCTGGGCGGTGCTGTTAGCCGCACTACCTTGTCGAGATCGATTACCTTCCCTTTCTACAGTTCGCTTAGGGCAGTTGGATCGAAGATGGCCCCTTTCCCTACAGCCGTAACACCTGGGGCTGTATTCTTTGTTGCGATCGCTAACTGTAGCTGCTGCAACTTCCCTGACGCGATGGGAACGATTATCCTGTCGCACGGCTTCCACCTCCAGTGCATGGGCCAACGCGTCTTTTAGCGTCTCGTGGTGCTCGAGCCTCACAGCAGCTCTGACTTTAAGGTCGCGGATGCCGTCGATGAATGTCTACACCAGGTTCCCTACAATGAACGCAGGTACAGACTGGTATGCTTTTCGAAACAACTTCTCCACCTCAAGGGCCCACTGCTGCAGGTTTTCGTTGCTGCGTTGCACGCGATCTTTGAGCTGCGCACGAAAGATATGTTCCAGGTGAGCGTCGCCATATCTCGCCTACAATGCCTCAAGGAGCTGCTCGTAAGTCACTTCCTTACCAAGAGCTTCCACAACAGTTAAGGCCTGGTCGCGCAGGCCTAAGGTAAGAGCAGTTATGGCCTGACTTTTATTCCAGCCGTTCGCCTTTATGACAGCCTCGAACTGGATTTTGTAGGCCGACCAGAAAGAAGTCCCGTCGTACGGCGGCACTTTGAATCCACGTACCGAAGGTGTTGTAGCTACCACGGGAGTGTAGCGAGAGTGTAATTCCATCCCCAAGTTTGAGGTCGTCCAGCGTTTTCTTCACGTCAGCCATCACGTTGTGAACCCGATTGTTCACTTAGTTGATTCGGGTTTCAGCTTCCGACAGACGGTTGCCATGTTGAGCAACCCTATGCTTCATCTCCTTTATCTCTTTCCCGAAGGTAGCGTGAAGGTCCTTCATGAGGAGCACCTGCTCTTCCATGCCGCGCTGCAGCTGCTCTTCCAACCGACGGGCCTGTTCCTCCTGTCGCCGGAACTGTTCCTCCTGTCGGCGGGCCTGTTCTTCCTGTCGGCGGGTCTGTTCCTCCTGTTGGCGGGCCTCCTGCAGCATAATCATCAGAGTACCTAAGACAGGTGCTGCAGACGCAGGAGGTGCTGAGAGGCCGGCTTCCATGATCGGCAGCTGGCCCTCCGACGTCTGCGACATTGCACCACCAAATCGTCTCTGGTCCGTCTCCTGTTGACATTAACTTCGGGCACGGATACCCTCCGTGTCGTCTTTAGGTAAAATCGGCATGATTTCATCCCATTTTTGACACCAATTATTACGAGCTTAACGAGCTTGGTAAGATCTTAGAAACATGTTTGGTTTCAACAGCCTACTTCTACATGGTCCTGCTAGGTGGATTCTCGAAAAAGAACTGAGAAAATTCAACCTTTATTTCACACTAGCTAATTGTGTAATTTATTACGGTTGGATTTCATGGGTTTTGATTTCTTTGCGCGAAACCGCAATTGATTTTCTAAAATAAAAGTAGATTAAGTTACTCTTTAAAACATTAGCTATCTGCCGCTAAAAGTGCCGTCAAAATCGGTCCTGTCATTTCGGAGATCAGCTGGAACAAACAGATAAACAGCCCGACCGATAGGCAGGCAGACAGACAAAAAAAATTGAAATTGTTTTTTTTTTGTTATAAGTACTGTATATTCTTTCATATGCATTTAGCAAACAGACACTTAAAATTTTATTTATTTGTATAGATTTAATAAATAAATGAGTTTGTCAACACGCCTTAGGGCAACGCGATAAATTCTTAACAGTTCCAAAAAAAAACATATAACCCCCTTAGGCCGGCCACATACATACGGAATTCCGTTTCGAGATTCCGTTTCGATATTCCGATTCGGAATCCCGAACGCAGCAAGTCCATATAAAATCTATGACCCGCCACACACGTACGGTAGTTTTCCGTTCGATATTTTGCGGGCAAAAGGGGATTCCTTTTGTGTGTGGCCGACCGTTCGATATTCCGAAACGGAATCTCGAAACGGAATTCCGTATGTATATGGCGGGCCTTAGAAGTACGAAAATGCCTGTGCCTAGCTATGAGACGAATAAAAGTTGTTAGGTTACTTTTTAATTGAAGAAGAATATCTTACGTTTTGACTACAAGGGGTTACATATTTACGTTACGTATACGTTTTTATGGTTAATAATATATTTTAGAAAATACATAATAAAGTTTACATTTGTATCTAAGTTATTCCACCTATGAGTAATATAAAGAATGACACTTGGCAACAATTACGAAGACACACCATAGGAAAGAAAAACACAACCTGCCTTTTTGTATTACATTTGCACAACACTATATATTGATGACATTGGTTCTATTGTGTTTTTTTAACTAAGACATTAGGGTTTATACATATATTTTTTATTAATATTTATTACGTTATTCCATATTATTTTTGTTTATATATACTATAGAACATTATTATACATAAATTAATTACGATTTGTTAGATTAAAAATGCACTTGATGACTCAACGCTACTATTGAACAAATTCGTACTTATACTTTGTACCTATACTTTAGAATATCGATCATAACTTTGTTAGAATTAACTGATTTTAATAAAAAAACGTCTAAATTTAATACAAAGATATGCTTTATGATTTTCATAACGATTCTGTTGATATAAACCAGTATATTATATGTGATACGTTAACAAACAGACAGACCGACCGACAGACAGACAGACAGAATTGTCTTAAAAAAATTATAGAAATGTATTCAATTACTTATTTTTAGTTCCTCTTAATAACTTCAACAGACATCTGCAATTTACATTTTTATTATATGTATAGAAGATGAAATAACATAACATAAACACTCACGCCTGTCACCCAGAGGGGTAGGCAGAGACTACGGACTTCCATTTGGCGCGATCCTGACACACCTCTCTCGCCTCTTTTACATCCATATATCTACGCATACACGCTCGTCGGTTATGGGTACTCCTAATCTGGCCCATTTTTAATGTATCGCCGATTTAGTCGATAAACCTTCGTCTAGGGCGTCCCTTCCCGACCCTGCCGTTCACTTCCGCAACATAAATTTGCTTTGTCACTCTTTCCTCGTTCATTCTTTCTACATGACCAAACCACCGAAGCATTCCTTTCTTAATCCTTGTCACAACGTCATCTTGCAAACCACACTTTTCTCTTATCACACTATTTCTCACCCTGTCATTCAGATTCAGCCCTAGCATACTCCTTAAGGAACGCATTTCTACAGCATTTATTCTACTCTCATGCTTCTTCTGCCAGACCCAACTTTCACTACCATACATTAAAGTAGGGACTAACACAGCATTATGAATTGCCATACATGCCTTAGTTGACACATTCTGACTCCTCATAATAGCGTGTAGAGCCCCATTCACTCTATTTCCTGCGTTCACTCGTCGTTCTATATCCTTATCATATCTACCATCCCTGCTAAATAAACATCCCAAATATACAAACTCATCCACTTGCTCAATCAACTCCCCTTCTATTCTTATTTCACATAAAGTTTTACTTTCTTCTCTTTCAAAAACCATCACTTTCGTCTTACTTGCGTTCACTTTCATACCCCTTTCTTTCAATGACCAATTCATTAAAGTAACCATCATTTGCAACTCGGCCGCCGACGATGCAAATATGACTTGATCATCGGCGTACAAAAGGCATTTGACGGTTGACTCACCCATTCTCAACCCACATTCTTCAACTTTCAAAGTTTGCAAACAACTGTCCATAAATAAGTTAAACAGCCACGGGGAAGCCACACATCCCTGTCTGACACCTTTATGAATGCCAAACCAGTCCGAGTAGACCCCGTTGATCCTGACACAAGCACTAGAGTCCCTATAAAGAGATCTTAATGCCTGTATCAAGCCAGCGCTCAACCCAAATGAGTTCAGTGTTTGCCATAACACATTCCTGTCCACTCTATCATAAGCCTTTTCCAAGTCCATGAACGCACAAAAAACTTTCTGGTTTTTAGCCAAAAACTTCTCCGCTATCATGCGCATGGAAAAGACTTGATCCGTACACCCCATCCCCTTTCTAAATCCAGCTTGCACATCCCAAATTTTTCCATCAGTTTCTTCCATAACTCTTTCAATTAACACTTTAGCATACAGTTTACCCACAATGCTAAGCAAGCTGATACCACGGTAGTTTTTACAGTCCTGCTGCGACCCCTTTCCCTTATATATTGGGACTATAACGGCTTTGCACCAGTCTTCCGGTACCCGTTTCAGTTCCCAACATAAATTAAACAAGGTGTGCAGCAGGCCTGTAACCACACCCTCACCAGCCCTTAGCATTTCGAGTGATACTCTATCATATCCGGCTGCCTTACCTGCTTTCATGCTTTTCATTGCTTTCATTATTTCATCTACACTTATCTCCCTACCTCTCTCCACTTCTTCCGGAATTTCTATTTCACTTATTCCAGACGACTCTTCACTCTTAAACACGCTTTCGAAGTATTCCTTCCATCTCTTTAAATTCGAAACTTCATCATTCAGCATGCAGCCATTCTCGTCTCGTATAGCATTTATTCTAGGCTGTTTTGAATTTCCCCTGGCAGTTCTTACGAGCTTCCAGAACATTTTAATATTTGCCTGGAAGTTATCAGATATCCTTCTATCATTCTTATCTATCCTTTCTTGCTTTTTCCTTTCAACAACTTCTTTTACTCTCTTATTTATACGTCTAAAGTCTGCCTTTTTTCTTTCAATCTCATCATTCATACCGCCAGAATTACCAGCTTTAGTTGCTAGTAAATCTAGCCATGCTCTCTTCTTTGCTTCAACTTCCATCCGTACCTCATCATCCCACCACAACGTATTACTTTTCCTTTCATTCGTTCTCTTACTTACACCGCATACTTCGGTGGCTGCATCCACCAAAACTTTCTTAATATTATTCCATACATTCTTCAATTCTAAATCATTCATACATAATTCATTCAACCCACTTATATTTTCCCTCCATCTGCATTTATACTTCTCTTTCACACCTTCATCTTGTAACCTCTCTATTCTTATACGCTGTAACGCAGTGGTAGACACCGATGTCCGATGCCGCCAACGTCTGAATAGACCATTAATTCGGCATAAGACCAAGTAATGATCCGTCCCTATGTTGGACCCCCGGTAAACCCTTGTATCTACCACTGCGCTCCTCATTCTTTCATCCACAATTATAAAATCTATCATGCTTCTATCATCCCCTCTTTCACATGTATACATGTGAATCCTCTTATGGCGAAAGAAAGTGTTCGCCACAAAAAGATTCTTTTCCACACATACGGTGAGGAGGTCTTCACCATTCTCATTTATTCTTTCATCGCCAAACGTTCCTAATATTCTTTCATAACCAGACCTCTTCACCCCAACCCTTCCATTAAAATCTCCTAACATAATAATATTTTCATTTTCCTTACATTTTATCAACACCAGCCTTACCATGTCCCAAAACTGCTCTCGGATATAAGTGGGCTTAGACATATCTGGGGCGTACACCCCTAGCACAAACAACTTCTTTAAGCCCACTTTCATTCGTATCCACAGCAGCCTTGGGCTAACACATTCATACTCTTTCACACATTGACCCATTCTTTCTGAAAGGATGACACCGACTCCCTGGCATGCCCGCTCGTTCTCGTCTACTCCAGACCAGTAAGCGGTATACATGCCATGTGCAGTGACATCTCTTCCCTTTCGTTTCGTCTCGTTTACACATAACACATCTATTCCTCTATCATTCATCATTTCGCATACTTCATCCATCTTATCATTCATTGCTCCACATACATTCAGCGTGGCCAGACGGGCCTCCGCAATCCACTTTTCGCCCCCCCGGGAGACAGGACGTGACGGGTGGCGAACCTCGTCGCCGGTTTTTCTCCCGGAGATTCTTCGCACCCCTGCCCCATTAAAGGGGCGCCGGGAACTCGGGGCCATTTCTTTTCCTTCTTGGCTCATGGTGCGAACTAAGGGGTGGTAGATTTTATGCCGCTACCATACGGCGAAGAGCCGAGGCTGTCGTTTCGGCTTTGTCGCTCGTTTAGCACCACCCGGGGGACACGTGTAGGGTGGGCCTAGGATTAGGTGGTCGAAGCCTACGGACGCGAGCGACTCATCCCCCCAAAAGATGAAATATTTTTTTATTATTCTATTAAAATTACTAATATTCTCTTTAACCATTCCTGCTAAACTTAAAATGCTTGTGTTAGAAGTGTATGGCGTAGTCGTCGAATGGTGGATTAGAACCCACGACCTATTGAGTTCGCAGTCTGTCCTGCCATTAGGCTACTGTTGTTAAATAAAAAAGCATATTTACTGAGTAGGGGCGGTGTAAGAATATCCATTACCCCATATTATCCCGTGGGTGTCCTAAGAGGCGACAGAGGGAAACAAATCAAGAGATGGGCAGCAGTGGCTTCCTAATACGACTAAAAATAAAAATTGCGGTTGACAACCCACTTACTGAGCGTGGTAAATATTTCAAATAGAGCATCTAAAAGGCAATGTACAGGAGATGCCTATGTTCAGCAGAATACTTTGATAGGCTGTAACGGTCACAGTAAAAAAGTAAGCACGAGCCTATAATATTTGACTGCTGGGCACAGATTTGTAAGAGGAAGATCAATAAGTCCGCCATGCGACTCCAGTGTGTATTGGCAGACTGCACATACCCTCGAAATATTTTATATGTTATATATGTGTTTCCTCATGTTCTCCATCACCGCCGACCACATGGTAAATTAGTACTTCAAATAGCAATTTCTCTATTCACGCCCCCGTGCACAGTACTTAAAACACATGCAAGGTCTAAATAACTTTCTTTTTTTTCTTTAGTAAATTAGAGATTGTGCAAATTTCTTTAATTTACTAAAGAATAAAAAAGAAAATTATTAAGACCTTGCGTGTGTTTTAGGATTTTCTATTGTATTATGGAGGCATTTTAATAGGCACATGCACAAACACTAGGTGGTGAAAAATTCTTTTCTACCTAGAAGTCTGTCTGTGGAGTCTATTGGGCCCCCGGTTAATCTGTAGTTGTCAGTTGTGAGGCATTTCATCATAGTCCTCAGAGTCACATCTAAGTAACCTATTTTGTTTGATGTAGGTTATTGCTTGCCAATGTCTATAATCTACATAATATCAGATGCATTGCTAGTTCCATTGGCACAGTCAGTCCTTCAATAAAGGATAAATAAATGAATAACTAAACATACATTTATTATTATAATTAATCAAAATACTACAACAAATATATATGAAAAAATAAAACATAAATAGGTCTGGAGGTGTAACAAAATTCAATAGATGGATTTACCTCCATTCTAGTCAATTAAGGTGGTGAAACAAACTATAATTCCATTTAAAAATTATTGGCTAAATATTAATTTTTATAATATTTAAACTTATTTAAATCAATAAATTTGTAAATATGGTGTAGAAGTAAATAATTGGGATTCAGTCTATAATGTCCCAATGCTGAGCACAGGCTTCTCATTTCTGAAAAGGCTATTATGCAATGAGGTCCGCCGTACTGCTTCAGTGTCAGTTTCACACATCACTGAAACATTCTATTTATCAGAGATGTAGGTTTCCACAGTATTTTCCTTCACTACTGAGCATGTGGTGAATTAGGACTTAAAATAACAATTGAAAATTTCATTAGTGCCATGGGGTTTAAGCCTTGAGCTGGCTTCGGTATACGAATAGCTTACAATTATAAATTTTTTTCGCTTCATACCCATCATTATGATAAAACATCTATAATTTTAAATTAAGCAAACCATAAGCCATAATGTAAAACAAATAAAAAATTAACTTACAACTATTAAAATTTCTTGCAGATCCATATTGAAAATTACTTTGGACAACCTGATGAATAAAAATAATAAGAGTTAATAAAAAAATCTTAAAATATTTAAAAAATAATATTTTTAATCAGAAATTATTTTATATATTAAATATAGATAAATTAAATTTTCACTATAGTTTATTAAGCTGCATCAACTTTTGTAAGTACATAGTTTACAAATTAATGCGAGTGTATAATTGTGTTTTTAATACTTATTGTGAAATATTTTTTAACAATTTCAAGTTTAATGATTAAAACCATTAAAATTTGTTGTGTAAATATGTAACAGAGACAAAAAAAGAAAATAAAACTTACCTTAGTTCTTAATAAGCTTGGCAGGTAAATTACCTGTAAACAGTGAATAGTAAAACATGTTTAACGCAAACATTTAAGTACAACTTTTCTAATAATTTATAAAATAACATAAGAAAATTTTCATGAAATTGAAGTTGTGTATCGCTAGCAACGCAAAGTCGGTTATTTGCATTTGGAAAAATCCCAAATTAGGGGCTTTTTAGGTGCTAATTAGGTACCAAGTTTAAAAATTAGGTGGCCTAAAATTTTCACCACAATGAACTGTTGAAATTTGCATCGCTAGCAAAACGTCTCGCAAGCAACGCAATTAAGTTATTAGATATACGATAAATATTAATAGCAAGGAATTAAGTGCTAATTAGGTGCTGGAAGTATACGCAATAACAAGGCGCACCAAATAAAAATAAACTCGTTATTCCGAAAATTATTCAGCAAGGCAAATTTTTTTTATAGGATAAGGGTGACAAACGAGCACACAGTCCACCTGATGGTAAGTAGTTGCTGTGGCCCATAGACATCTACATCTATCTTCGATTAAGAATCAAAATGCAGATACGTTGTCACCCATAAGGATTAAGATGGAATGCCTCGTTTCCAGTAAAAAGGGTCTCCGGTTCTCTACACTCACCATACGAAACACAGCAGCGTTAAGCTGCTATTTTAGCATGGCTCTACAACGTAAAAAATTAGGTCTTTGTGTTTGTGCCATCTAGCGTCTATCCTACTTACCACCTTGACAGTCCATCGATTTTGATTTGATAAAATGACTAGAACTATAGAACGTTGTAGATGGCGTTATTTATTACAAAGCAATTTACTGGAAAGAAAATATCCTTTCGAGTACACTAAAGTTTAGGCTTCACATGTCTAAAAATAAGAATTGTAACATTTATTTGGTTGAAAATTATATTAAATAATATTATAAATCTATAATATAATTTTATATAATTTTCAACCAATTTTCAACATTTTCAAATATAATCATATTAAATGTGAAAAACAAAAAATGCCGTTCATACCTTATAGTAAGGTAATGGTGGTTTTAAATCTGATAATTTCCAGAATATTACCGTCATCTACATGCAACCTCAATAACCTTTCAGCACTTAATTAGCACTTAGTTTTTAGGAACTGATATAGAACAAAAAATACTGCTCATACATTATAGTAAGGTAATGGTGGTCGTGGACCCCATAATTCCCAGAATAATATCGTAATCTGTGTCGGGTTTCGATAATCGATCTGCAGCACTTAATTAGCACATAATTCCTTGCTGTTAATATTTATCGTATATCTAGTAACGTCATCAGCGTTGCTAGCGATACGTTTTGCCAGCAACGCAAATTTCAATGGTTCGTTGTGGTGAAAATATTGGAGCAACTAATTTTTAAACTTGGTACTTAATTAGCACCTAAAAAGCCCTTAATTTGGACTTTTTCTGAAAGCAATTTTGATTTTATTTTGATTTTCAGGAAATCTGAATTTTGCATCTGCTATGTTCTGAATAACGACTTTATTTTTATTAGGGGCGCCTTGTTATTTCGTATATTTGCAGCAGTAGAGCACCTAATTTTTAAATTTGGCACCTAATTAGCACCTAAAAAGCCCCTAATTTTGGATTTTTCCAAATGCAAATTCCCGACTTTGCGTTGCTAGCGATACACAACTGAAAATTGAGCACATAGAGGTAATTTAAACATACATAGTTTTAAAATTACTTACATAATGATAAAAAATATCACATTAGCAATATCACTTTTATTTAGAAATTTGATAAACTGACTGTTTTCAGTATTCGCAAGCTATGTTTTCATTTGTAAATCAAAACAAAGAGCTCGAAAAGAAAATTTTCAGTGTGACAGTGACAGTGACAGTGACAGGTGACAGGTGACAGCAAGTCCAAAGAGCAGATTTGTTGTTGTTACGATTCGCCAATGAAGGTAGGCAAGTGTTACATTAGGTACACAGATGTGTATTTTATTCACTTAATACTTCACAAACTGATGTGTCACATTTGCCCAAGCAGATAAAATAAAACCTTGGGATATCACTATCGAAGCACTTTTTTCATCGTTTCCACTAGTAGTTCACATGTGCAGAACAGACAAAATCGCGCCACTTTTACATAGGTATCAAAATCTACTTCAAGCTTATATATATGCTATTACATGAGCAACAACTCTTCGGCAGCAATGTTCCCGCAAAACCTCCCAAAGGCCAAAGAGTTGAATAATATACCTAACGGGAAAGGGAAAAGCACAGTAAATCGTTACGATTCGCCAGTTAAGGCTGGCAATCTTTGACCATACACCCTAATCAGATTTATATTTTGTTCACAAAACTCTTCACAATATCCATATGGCAAAATCACTCAATATTATTGAGTGATTTTGACGATAGCTTAATCCAGCGAGCGGTTGATGATGAAATCTCAATGTTGGGTAGAGCACAAAATAATAAGAATTATAACTTATAGTAGCTATTCCTAAAAAAAATATAAATTCTAAGCCCCAAAATTCAGTTAAACTTCAGCTTAAATCGCAATGTCCTTTATTCTCGCGAAATTTAACATTTGCTGTGAAATTCCATACTCTTTATATTTTATTTTGCACAATTTCTATAATGCAATAGTCTATAGTTTAAGCTTTAGACTAAATTTAGACTACTTTTTGTATTAAGGCGGTCTAAGCTTATGCTAAGTCGGAAAGTAGCTAGTGTTGCCGCTGCGATAGCACTTCTTATCAGTTTGTGGTTGTCGCTTACAGTAGGGCACAGTAGGGCATCACCAAAATAATTGTTAATGGCGGACAAAAACAACAAAACTTTTTTAACTATTATAATAAGTCAGTGTCATATGTGTAATAAATACTAACTAATAGTGAGTCAACTCGGCGACTAGATGGAACAACGATGAGGCGCAGTATCAAGATGAGCGGGAGCGGAATCCTCCCCCCCTGCCCGTGACGTCTGTGGTAGTACCGGTCGGCTTTGCTTGCGTACTGGTATGCCCGTTTAAGAGTGTCACGTACACGGAATCTGTTGCACGCTTTTGTTGTTAATAAAAGTCGTAAATATTTATCGGTTGCACATCTGTAACGAGGCAGTTGAATAAACAGAACCAACATATAATTTTAACCTGTTTTATTTATTCTGTTCAACCCCTTATCAAATATTTTAAGCGGAATACCTGAGATACTGCTATATAAGTAAAATATAGTAAAATTAGGTAGGTATCTACAAGCCTGTGTTTCCATCACGATGATTCAGGTGAAGCTGCGAAACACAACTAGTTTTTTAAAGTAGTAATTAATTTGTATCTTTGTATAGAAAAAGAAATTGTTACGAAGAATACTGATAAAATATAATGTTATGATATTATTATTTAAGGAAATTTTTTGTGACAACCTTTGCATATTTTTAGCGACGATGTCGAGACAGCCTTGTAGGTTTTTTGCGGTGTAACAAAGGAGTTGACCCACTATTAGTATTTATTACACATATGCCAGTGCTTGACTGCTGTCCCACCTATTAATACGTGGTGATGCAGCCGAAGATGATAAAGCGCACTGATTAAGCTAAACAAAATAGCCTATTCACTATTGCTTTCAAGACATTGTAATCGGATGAAAAGATAGATGTTGGCATTTTATTCTACTCCTTTGCTGTACGCATGGCGAGCGATGACGCAAACCGTTTGATTTGAATGCATGACAAGGCGTGGTAACACTGGACATTTTGCTGAAATTGTTTTTCTTCGCCCGGACACTTGAAAAATTGTTTACACCAAAAATACCATAAATACAGAAAAATAAATATATACAGTTATTTTATAGCAAACAAAATCAATATTACGCATTTTTACTAATAAATTATTTAGTATTATTCTCTTTCTGTGGTAATCTCGTAATAAACTGGTAGTAAACTGTAACTTCAAATTTGCCATATTTCTAGATGGTGTGGTCCATGACTTTATATGGAGCCTCCATTTGATTTAGGGCCCTACGGAAAGAACCACTGCCTTCTTGAGAAGACCTCAGAGGGCGATAACATTCGGAGTAATTTTTTTATAGGAGAGGGGGCAAACGAGCATGCGGCTCACCCGATGGTAAGTGACTACCGCCGCCCATGAACAACCGCAACACCAGGGGAATTGGAGATACATTTCCGGTCTTTTAAAAAAGAGTACAATCTTATCTTAAAGGTTCCTAAATCGTATCGTCGAAATATGTCGTATATTTACGACATATTTGAGGCGGTGAGTGTATTGGCGGGGTCTCATCTCTGAAATTTGGGCGGAGTTCTTCTCTACAATATGTCAATTGGCAATTGGAATTCTGACTCTAAGGGAGTTGTTCTCCTTTCAAAAATATAGGAAAGGCAGGGGTTCCGTGCTTGGAAATTAATGTTTGTAATATGAAAAGAGCGACTGGCCCACCCGAGGGTAGGAAGCGGAACCATCGAGGCTGTTCCTTCGGTACTGCCAGAGTGGATAAACAGGCGACACGGGTGATTACCTCCCGGCTTTTGAAGATGCTTTCTGGAAATGGATGCTTGGTAGCCGGACAACCAATACAATGACGAAAGAAAGAAAATAAGGAGATTATGGCGCAGCATACAGCATGCAACACTACAGCTGTACTATGTGGAGACCTCTCGGTTCCAGTCTTGATTGAGGGTATTGTTTTACTTTATTTTATTAATATGGCTTACTAACAGTCAACTTACACAATGACAATCTTAAATAACACAAGTTTCTTAAGCTAAATGTTTTCTACGTGGTAGAGCCAAGCAGCAGCTATATTTATAACTAGCTTTTTACCCGCAGCTTCGCTCGCGAGCGCTTGAATTAAGGAACATCATTAAAAGCTGTTCCGTGCCAAATTTAGAAAAATTCGATCACTTTTAGAGTCACCTCGGTGTCTATGTCTGTCAATTTTTTTTTCTTTCAAAAACCACTATTAGACGTAGATGATTGGTAACATGCTACAGAAAAACATGAAAATAAACACTTATTAGATATATATTATTGTCAGAAAAATCTCTATATAAGGGTGAAATAAAAAAAAAAACAAATTTGTGTGAAACATTTTATTCGCAGTTGTAAATACTGTACAAATCCTAACAAACTTACAAATTAACATCTATTATGGACCTTCGCATGGCACTGTCGACATAAGCCACAACTCTTCACTAATCCCACTGTACTCTTAGACCACAAGCCACAAAACATGTATTACTGCTTAATTAAAACATCAGTCAATTGGTTCTTGATGCGTAGATAAATATAATTTTGTTATTAAAATGTTTCAAAAATTATTTGCAATAGTAGTCTAAGGTATAATGGGTTAAAACTTCGTAACACACATGATATTTATCGGTGTTTCTTATAAATCAAAGTAGACGTTGGATAGGATGATATCGAAACAATATAATCTCTTCTTACGGCTAATGTGGGTAAATGTTGAAAATTATGTACAAAATCCAAAGCACCGTTTTTGATCCTGGCATTGTAATATTTCTTTTTCGGCGCATTACACTCTCGTTATTTAATAAATCATAGATACTTTTTAATTAAACTTGTAAGTCAAGTATTATAGCAACCAAAAGATAACTTTATCATGCTCGATTTGCTTTTTGCTTTTTTTTTTAAATTGCGTTGCTTTATAGCTCTGCTAATTAGCAATTTCAGTTGGTTTGCACGTTTAAAAATTAGGCTTTCATGTGAAATTCGAGTATGATCTAGAAATTTTAAATAGTTAACGAAAGTGTTCTTACTGTAATTTGTTGTTAGTATCAGCTCACTATAGAGGTTAAAAATAATTTTTATCTCCATCTCGTTGAACGAAAATGTTTACACAGCAAGTTCAAATTCGAATTATAATGTTATTTAAGTTTTATTAACAATTAGGTCAACAAAATAAATTTAAATCAATTTTATATACAACAAAATAATAATTATAATGGTACATAATTTGTATATTTCGATATGTTATTGTATTTTTATTTTGTAGTATCTTAAACACTAGCAATGTCTGTAACTAAGCTCTCCAATCCATAAGATTTGGATAAAATTAAAAAATATAAACATAGCAAGATCGTTGAATATATAAACTAAGTATTCAAGTAAATGAGTAATTCAAATATTAGTAAAGGAAGGAATAAGAAAAAAAAAATAAGTCTTTGGTTTGTTAGGTGGAAACACGATATTATGATGATATTATAAACACTCAATTTCTAAGTGTGTTTTGAAACAAGAAAAATAAAGATGGTAGGAAAGAATTAGAAAAATAAGAAAATCAATGTATGTGTATGTGCGAAGACGTTCGGAATTAATACGACTTATACCTGAACATCGGCCTTATCTAACCTTACTCACGAAATTCATAAATAAACACTCAATATATCAAATTCACGAAATTTTGGTGATGATTTACTATTTTTCCTGCTTGCCATAAACTATATTGATAGTTCGAAAGTTTATTGTAAGCAGCAAAATAGTTAAATTTTTTCCAATGAAAATAAGTTAAAGTAAATGCGGTAACATCCATAAAAATAATTTTAAATAGTACATGCAAAAATATAAGAAATGATTATAAAAAAACATGGTATTGATTAAAAAGGCGAAAAACTTTAATTAGGTACAAATTTTAACCGGTTTCTTTATCGAATTTAGGGTAACATTAAAAGTGTATAAAATGATACCCACTATAAATGATAAGTCGCGGGGTTATTAACTCAACAATGGCGTCATAACCTCCACTTTGGTTTTGTCATAGTCGAGTAATTTAGTCTTTATTTGCTAGTGTTTAAGAGTACAGTATAATAGTAGTGATTCATAGTCCATTGCGTGAAACTATAAATGATTGAATTTCGTTACTAATACTGCAAGTGATATTAATCCATGTCATTATTATAAAATATTCCAACAATTGTTCGGCAATATATTTAAATATTAAATACAAATAAGGTCACTTCCCATTTACATTATTTATTTAAGGTAAACAATGAGCAAAATTTTTCATTTTCCTTTTACATCCATTTATACAACATCCTTATTATCATCAAAATTTTATTAAATAAAATACACACGTGGATAATTTAAAAAAAATGAATTCTTATTATTATATATTAACAAAACTTTCAAATGCGATAATTTGCTTATAAGAAAAATAATTTTTTTGCACAGGCAATTCCAATTAAATTCCATTTAACCCTACACCACATTCATAGTGACTAAAATGTGTTTCTAAAAATATTTTTATTTACAAAACTGTTAAAAACCGTTAAAAAGACAAAAGTTAAATAAAGTAAACGGGTAAGTTGATAAGTAATTCGTTGTAATACAACACATAATAAATAATAATAGATCTCTATTAACGCTCAACAACTAAAGACTAAAAGATATAAACAATAAACGAAGTGTGATGTGATCTCGCGTGTTGTAACGATATAACATTATTTTAAAACAAAAATAATCGTAATAAATACATATTATAATATAAAAAAACACAAAACACTTCGAGTTGATCGTCGCCCCGTATGTTGCTCGAGTTTCCGGTTCATTTTCATGTACACTGAGAAACTCGTCTCATAGAATGTCCACTGCTATAATGCTATAAGTTGTGCAGCGTATTTAGCAGCGAGCTACATGTGACCGCTCATATCGGCCGCGTAAAGTTTGCTGGGAACATGCCCTTCTCGTTGGTGGACTCCTTTATACCCATCAGCCAACCCTCCTCCTAGAATGATTTACACAAATATTTTAATATTAACAGTTTTTCTACGTAGACCATGGAGACATATTTCTTGTGAGTTTGCCGAAAAAAACCCATAAACAAGCTTAAAGGTTAAAACCGTAATTAAAAAAAACTCGACGGCGTGAAAATGTTTACCGAAAAGAGAAAAAAAAATTACCCTATGTCACTTCCATATGTTAAAATCTATCAAGCCGTTAAGAATACAGAGCGTGCCAAAGAAACAGAAATAGACAAACATATATACATACAGTACACAAGGTACATAACATACGGGTGCTCTTACTTTACTGTTCCTAAGGATATATTTATAGGTAGATCGCGATAATTACAGATAAATAATAATAGGTACCTAGTTACAGATTTATTATTTTATTAGCGACCTGACCACAGCTTCGCAGTTTTCGATTATTTCTCGTATAATGGCAATAACCTTAAATAATCGTTCAGTGTAAGTAGACCTCCCAGTACTAATTACTGCTTACTAATGCAAGATCAGCATATAACTGGATAAAAGTTAAACACTTGATCGATAAAAGAAAGAGATTGAAAATAGCAGTACTTCTCATTGCCACTCTTTCATTAATAATCCATCGCGTGTCGCATGTTTGTAAATAGCAAAAAAAGTGAAACAGAAAATATGTAAGTAGGTAAATGACCTGAGTTTCAAAGACGTTCATATTGTTATAATCTTATTTTTTTATAGATGTTGAATATTAACCTCCCTCACATTGAACAATAATGTTGTTATTATTAGAAATTAACATTAATACATTGCATAAAACCTCGGTGTATTCCACTACCAACTAATATCAAAGGATTCAATTTGTTTTCTCACAACACCTAACCATATAGTAGCCCTACAGTAGTAAAGTAACCCTAGCCTTAAGGTGAAACATACGGTCTGCTCCCGGCCATATACCCGCGAGATGGCGCTGAAGTCATCATTTTTTAGTTTATTTGGGTTTTTGTGTAATTGGAACATTATTAAGTCGTAGAAGTAGCAATCGCTATACTCGGAGATTATACTTTATTTTACGAGGTCATATCATTGCCTCAAAATCCACACAATTCAACACAATGTTCAAAAATAACATCTGTCATTGAATATAGTGTCGTTTACACACACTAACGTGGGTAAATTCTTAGTCCCTACATTTACGAAAATTGAATACTAGATGGCGTGAATGAAAAAAAAATGTTTTCCTTTTTTCTGTATGGGTAGGCAGAACTACAGAACGCCACCTGCTAGGATATATTATATTATGTACGATTCATCATCTGCCTAGCTTTTTTCCCAACCATATTGGGATCGGCTCCCAGTCAAACCGGATTCAACTGAATACCAGTATTTTACGATTATGTTATAAAAATAAAAGTTATATTTGTAAAATGATCCGTGGTAACTCAGATAGTTAGCACTCGCTGTAAGTTTCACAGTACGCGAGAAACCCGGGTTCGATCCCCGCCGGCACCAATAAAATTGTTAATTGCAATTTTAAGTGCTGATTTACCACGTGCTCGGCGGTGAAGGAAAACATCGTGGAGAAACATGCATGTCTGACAAATAAGAAAAAATAATATTTCGAAGAGATGTGAAGTTCGCCAACACGCATTGGGGCAGCGCGACGGAACTTTCCTTGCCCTAAAACCCTCTCAGAAATGAGAGGAGGCCTGTGCCCAGCAGTGGGACGTGTATTTAGGCTGTACATTTTTTAACTTATATTTGTAGGCGTAAATAAACTATTTAATTCAATAATAATCTTGGAAAATAAACTATGTCAACACTAAGAACAATAAGCGTTTTATTGTTCATGTAACATTCCTAATACGAGGTTATATTTATTAGCGTCACCTACTGGGGAATAGCTAAAATGTTATCTTAATAAATGCTTAGCGTTGTTTTGCTATTTTTAGCTAGAGGGTGCCATACGCGCACTAGCTCAAAGTTTTTGTGTATAAATCTTCCCAATGTCCGCTCTATAGTATACCTATATATTTAAATCTCTTTGATTATATTACAGTCAAACGAGCGACAGAAGTTTGGCAACGCCGCTCTTCTTTCAACGTAGTGCATCTAGTTCAAGGTTAGTAAGTAGTACGGCATCGTTGCATAATATCTACTTACGAATGATGGTATTTGTTGCACGACAATATCGTCTGCACGCCATCTAGCGTGCCAATGTTTAAACGATGTTTTTGGTGCTTTTACTTGTCAAGTTGTCAAAATTCACTCACACTACTAAAGAAGTGTCAAAATTTTTCTAGAATCCACTATTGTTTTTCTTAATATATACTGTAAGTTATTTTCTAAGAAGATCAATCGCGAGCACATTTCAGTGTAGAAAAGTGATAAAATGATTAGTTTTAAACAAATAGTGTCTGTGTTTAACGTATATAGAATAAGAAAAATGTATGGTGCGGCTATCGGAGAATCCCCCTTAACAAAGGCGCGTAACGGGCTAAGTGATATATACTCTCGCACGCGGACGTAACGTGATTTTTATTTAATACGCGCGTCGCAACAATCGGTAGGCTATTTTAACGAAGGTCGCATCCGAGGCGTACAAGTATTATGAACATTAATGACGTTGTAACTAAGTTTAAACTTGCAAGTTTGCTATTAGAGAGTGATTCTTCTGTTCTTGTAATATTATTTATTTTGTGGTACTATACAAGTTTTATTTGTAGATTTTTTTTATGGAAGCAAGTGTGACCAACGAACGTAGAGCCCACCTGATTGTAAGTGAATGTTGTACCCCGTAGATATCTACATCTCACCTCGACACTTAGTTGAGAATTAAAATGCAGATGTGTTGTCATCTCACATCAACATAGAATGCTTCGTTACCAGTAAAAAGGGTCTCCAATTTGCGTCATTCATCATAATGTTACGCTTTTTCAATGAGAAAGTACCAGGAACTTGCGGTCAATAATATGTCCAAGAGAAAAGGCTTTCTATTAGTTGACATAAAGTTACGTTTTGCTTATATTAGTAACTATAAGCATTGTCTATTTTTAAGTCTATGCATTTTATTTTATTGACAGATCCTTATCTTCAGGAACATTTTCGTGCAACGTGCTGTTGTAACAATATGAAACACAGCAGCAATTCGAAATTACTCGTATTTCGCGGTCCTTTCCCGGTCGAGCCCGACTATTTGTGCTGAAGATACGAATGAAGAGAAGGAAGATATGTTCAATTTTTCTTCGCAATGTGTGTAGTGGAGGTGGGTACCTGCTCGTCTGGGTCGTCGTACTCGACGACGCGGATGATGTCGCCGACGTCGAACGAGAGCTCGTCGCTGTCCTCGCGCGTGTAGCGGTACGTGGCGCGCACGCGGTACAGCGCGCCGCCCGCGCCGCCCGCACCCGCCGCGCCCCCCGCACCCTCCCTCGCACCCGCCGCGCCGCCCGCACCCGCCGCGCCCCCCGCACCCTCCCTCGCACCCGCCGCGCCGCCCGCACCCGCCGCGCCCCCCGCACCCTCCCTCGCACCCGCCGCGCCGCCCGCACCCGCCGCGCCCCCCGCACCCTCCCTCGCACCCGCCGCGCCGCCCGCACCCGCCGCGCCCCCCGCACCCTCCCTCGCACCCGCCGCGCCGCCCGCACCCGCCGCGCCCCCCGCACCCTCCCTCGCACCCGCCGCGCCGCCCAGCGTCGCCCCTGCGCATAATAACACCACCGTCAAAACTCACTTTTAGTAAAGCATCGCGCACCAACTTCAAGTGCGTTGTGTACGGTATGAAAATTAAATTAAATTAATTTTTTTTTTTGTTGCAGCCTATTAATGTCCACTGCTGAATGCAACACTCCAAATAGATTACATCATGATATTTGTTATAATTGACAGCCGGGCTGGCCAACCATATAAGTATTCTTGTAATCTATATTAAATAAAAATAATTCTATACTATTCAGTTTTTTTTTTCTAGTTGTAATTGAACGCTGCTGCCCATCTCCTAGCTTAGTTCACTCTACGCCCCTTACGACATTCACATAATCCAAGCGTTTACCGCTCTTAAATAATGAAAACAATTAGAATTTAAAAACTTTCATCAAAATAATTATAGTCTGCGTAAAATAAGATATTCACAAACTATATAATAATTTGTATTATCTAGAAAATTACTGAGATTGCTAAACATTGTCCAGTTTTATTCACATTATATTAAACTATCTTGTGAACCTTACAAAATTTCCACTAGCATCTAATATGTAAGATATAATTGTAAGGACTCCAGAAAGACTAGTTTTTCAAAATTGTATGCCAAATCATTCATTAATTAAAGCCACCAAGAGACCACTATCGAAAATAGCCGCAGCCATAAATTGCCTCATAATCCCTTATTTTGCCATAGTTGCCACACTTGACAGGAAAGTGCTGAACTGCAGTGGCCATGCAGTTTTATCTATTTTGAGTAATTATCAGAACCCTGCAACCCATCACCGATTTCAATTTCCTTCTTCTGTTTTGTGGCATTCCATAAGGAAAACAAATGTTTAGCAGCGAGCTTGTGAGGACAAGAAAGAAGTATACAGCCACTCAGATGTAATGATGATGTAGATTAATTAAATTTTTTCTTGATGCAAAATATAAATTTAGCTAATTAGTTTTACTACCCAAGACTACATCATCATACACTATCAGGTGGGATCGTATCGTATTCAAACACAAGTTTTTATAACATAATATTTCAAAATTACTATCTGTCCCGGCAGATATTGTTCTGCTCCTTCAAACAGACGACGCGATAAGTTTCACTCCAAATTCATTCCGGATTTTTCTTTGGTGTAAAAATAAAATTTATTCATAACTTGACGACAGCGCCACCTATCTGGTCTACATTTTGTGATTCTTTTTTTTTGTAACAATATGTATTGTCAGTATGAATCATTTTGGACCATAAATATAGAATTTGTTGATGAGCATTGCTATGAAACATCATCTCGATCGTTCGGAACCGATTCATTATTCGATCACTAACTGAAGAGATTAAAAAAAAATTGTTTAAAAAAATACGCACAACAGTCATGCAATACTAAAGATTCATTAATTAGGATTATAACTCTGAAAAATGTTAGTTTATTAGGGAAAGACACATAAAGTTTACAACAAATTATCAAAACAGTTACAGAAGCTATTGTATGCATACACATATAAATAAGCGTCGACCTGAAAATAAATATAATATACACATATACAAAAAATCAAATTAATTATGTAGAACATAATAAATACTGAAATAAGTATAATATACTAATCAAGATATCCTCAAACTACAAGCTAAAAATAAATAACTACAATTTACTCAGTCAGTGCTAAGACAAGTGCATCGATGAATTGAAGCCCCCAACTTCAGCAGCTATAATGTGAAAAATTTTTGAAGACTCTTTTTTCAAGACAGAATTTTTTTACTCTTTTGAGTGACCTACATTAGATTAAAAACTTTTTAATTATCCTATTTTTCCACCCTTAGTAGTGAATTTTGTATTCAAATTTAAGAGGGGATAACCTTTGAGCCTTTTAAGTAAAAAATCATCAAAATCTGTTATTAGAGAAGATATCGCGTAACATACGTACATAATAAAATACAGTTCGAATTTCAATACTTCTTATTTTTGAATGGCTAAAAATATTCACTGTCTTGAAAACAAAGAAGTTACAAGCAATAAAACCTTTACCAATTTTAATTCTTGTTTAATATTTGAGACGTAATAATCTTAAATAATTTAGAACCGAGATTTGAATATAGAAATAAACAGGTAAAAGCTACAATTGAAGTTACAGTTGTGTAAAACGAAACACTTATGCACGCGCAACAGATACTGTAACAAAGTTTTTCACAATTGAATGATAAGAAATTAAACCTGTTGGTACTGGCTATAATATCTACTTCCATTATTAGTAAATAATAGGTTAAAAATAACAAGAAAATAATATGTAAAGACCTGTCTGTTCTCACTTACCCACTGGTATGTCGTAAACTTCATCATTCTTGTTCTGATTTTCTACATCTTTCTTCTCTTTCTCTTTGTCCTTCTCATTTTCCTTCTCTTTCTCTACCTGCGTTTCACTCTTTTCGTCGATGTTGTTATTCATATTCTCGGTCGAGGGCTGCGATCCTGAGAATTTTGAGCAATTCGTTGCCTACATCTACTCAAAAAATCGAGCATCCAAATTGGTTTACTAAATTCTAAATTAACTATTATTATAATTACCGTTATTTAGTGCTTCGGTGTGAACCTTACTGCTACGTAATTAAAAATACGAGCTCAAACAACGTTCTATCATGCTGTATAGTATACAGATAAAAATTTAATAAGCGTTTTGTTATTACATAAAATTACAGTACAAAATATACGTGTTCAGACATTTCTGTCCTAATAAGTATTAACTATCTCAATACATGACTCTTTCTGTCGGTATTTAGTGAAGAGAGAAAGAGAGAGAGGTCGATTTTTGTAAGTTACGTCATAGATAAAAGCACTTAAAAGAACGAATTTCTATTATTTCCCAAAAAACTTTTTTTTTATAAATTTCAGTTTATAGCGATTGATGTTATATAGGAAGAAATGTCTGTTTTAAAACAAAATATCATGGTAACTTACCTATTAGGACAGTGTAGTAATAATTATATAAATAATTTAAATTTAAAAATACTTTATAAAGGGACTCTTCAGAATATTTTGCTGCCAAATAATACAAGGGAATTAACAAATTCAGAGACACAACGTTTCAGCCTTGGGAAAGGCTTTTGACAGTGTTATTCAGGAAAATATACGGTTGATTTTTCGCAAAAATAATATTTCTGAAGCATACGTGACCGTAATAACTAATATTTAAAGCTGGCAATGACATACATCAGAACTTCTTTAAGATTTATTACCAAATCTACATCAATAACAGAAGGTGTGCATCAGGGTACAGTTTTTAGACCGTATTTATTTATTCTGAACGTTGTGATAGAAATCAAATAAAGGCAACATGGAGGTTGAGTAATGAAAATGACAATCAATTATGTGATAATGTAAAAAACAATTATGGACGGCGCGAAGATATGGAGTTGGAAACAGGTTCAAATTATAATGGGAACTATATTATTTCAAAAATATTCCTATTTATGTCAAAAATAACAATTAGTGGCAAAAGTTAATAGATTTTATAAAAAAATTGATGTTGTGGAATAACAGTTACGTTAAAATACTCGTTTATTTGATCTGTAATAAAAGAATTTAATCATGGGCAGTTTACTTAGCGCCCTTTCAAAAGTAGAAGACCCCGCGGGAATTGTTGCAGTTATCAAGTTTGAAGTTTGATAAGATTTAGTTTCCCTCGTATATTGCATAAGCTCATTAGCCTGATACTGTGGACAATTTTAATGAGAACGTTTGATTTTAGTTAATTGAAGCCTGATAAAAAAATATTTTAACAAAGTACCTTATGCAGCTGATAACATGCATCATCTAAATCTTGTTAATGATACAATTTAATAATATCGTATAATAATATAAATACTGCTTATACATTTTATTAACCAACAGTCCCAGAGGAGGTTACTAATGTTTTTCAGGCATAACTATGTACATAGTAGTAGAGTATAGTAGACCATATTTTATGGTACCAATAATACACCGATAATGATGGGTCAATTGTTTTTTTTAAGATACTCTTGTTTTACTAACTAGCCAACTAATATCATACCTACGGTTAAACACTATTTGTATCAGGATCATATACGAGGCCGACACTGAAAGTTTTTAGAACTGGCCATTTGTAAACGATATAATAAAAAAATAAGTTTAAATTTTGAAAATGGAACTCAATTAATCAAACAATATTATTATGTACGTATTTTATTAATTTGTCATTTGTTTACGATTTGGCGGCAAATTGAAAATTGTCTGTGTCACGTCAGAGAAAATTTTTGTACAATGATTTTAAATGACTTTCGATGTCATTTTAGTCAACAAGAAAGTTATGATAGACTTCGATTGGCCTTTCACGATGAAGCCCCATCTCGTGCCACTGTTTACAACTGGTTTAATGAGTTTAAACGTGGTCGCACTAATCTCACCGATGATCTGCGTGAGAGACGGCCTTCTACGGCGACGACTGAAGATAACATCAGTGTTGTGCGGCGTATGATAGAGACTGACAAAAGAGTGACTTATCAGCAGATTCGGACAAGTTTAGGCATAGGTCTGAGTCAAGTACACAAGATCCTCCATGAACATTTAGCGGCCAGGAAGCTTTGTGCCCGGTGGATACCTCATAATTTTACAGAGGCCCAAAAACTCCGTCGTGTTTATTGGGTTCAAAAATTTTACGGAGGTGACTCAAATGCTGTGTTCGACATACTTACGGGTGACGAAAGCTGGATTTATTGTTATGATTCCGAAACTAAGAGACAGTCTGCTGTCTGGGTGTTTCCTTCCGAGGAGTTGCCAACTAAAGTGAAGAGAGGTCGAAGCGTGCGAAAAAAGATGGTGGCCCCGTTCTTCGGAAGGACAGGTCATTACGCAACAATTGTTTGAGAGGATCGAAAAGCAGTTCCTGCAGAGTAGTACACTAACAATTGTTTGCCACTTGTCTTGGAAAAAGTTCGGGAGAAACAACCTCGCAGTAGAATCCTCCTTCACCACGACAACGCCTTGTCGCACACCGCCAAGCAAACAATCGACTTGGGGCGATGTCGGACGTGGAATTACTGGGTCACCCGCCATATAGCCCGGACCTCGCACCTTGCGATTATCATTTATTTCCAAAAATAAAAGAAAAACTTCGAGGAAAACGCCAAGGAAGCAATGGCTGCGTTTCAAAATGCCGTCTAAGAGACCCCTAAGGACGAGTGGGCAAAGTGCTTTTCTTAGTGGTTCCATAGGATGCAACGATGTTATTAATGTAAATGGACACTATTTTGAAAAGATATAATAAAACTAATAACTTGCTAGTTCGTTCAGTTTTTGATTTTCTAAGAACTTTCAGTGTCACCGTCGTAAGAATCCAGTATTACCATAACTGTTTTAAAGGATACCTTAATCGGCGACGGATGAGGTACTGGGAGCGCATACTCACCGACTGGTGTGGTTTCCGCGTCAGTTGCGTTGTTGTTGGGCTAGCGAGAAGGCGTCGCGGGGGTGGAGGCGGAGTGGGAGGGGACTGATATCAAACTTACCGTTGAGCAATATACTATTTGTACCACAATGACATAAGTATCTAATATTACTAAAACTACAATTTTACAGTCCTCACGGATTAAGAATGGGATAGAAATGGCGGCAAAAGTTATAGAACGTACGAAAAACACATATCGTAATGTATTTTTTTTGCAGTATTTACCGTTTGGTGTGAGTATTGATAGCTACAGTGTAAGAGTGAGAGGTAAATAGAGGTAAAGCCATTTTCAATCTCATTCTTTAACCGTACGTATAGTACTTTATATGTGGGAGAGCCACTCTGCAGCTATATTTGTTGTAGCATAAATGGGTCGGCTCGATCGGGGTAGGACCACGCTCTCACAGAATACTAGCGTAAACATGCAGCTTCATGCTACTGTTTCGTATGGGGAGTGTAGAGAACCGGATACCTCTTTTTAATGGAAACTAAGCGTTCCATCTTTGTCATCAGGAGGGACAATGCACTTGCAATGGGATTTTTAAATGATTATAAATGTAGGGCTACAGTATTCACTTACCATCAAGTTTGACTGTGTGCTCGTTTTCACCCTTATTAAAAAAAACTGTTTTATTAGCGACCGATGTAGTATCAGGAATGCATACTTACAGACTTGGTGTGGTTTCCGCGTCGGATGAGCATCGTGGAGGCAGAGAGGGATATTAGGACGTCAAGCGGCGAGGCGCAGCCCGGCGGACTGACGGTGTTGAGCGCTAGTGGGGAGGCGTCCGTCGCTAGGCGCACTCACACGCATGGCGATGTGGTACCAGGAGCGCATACTCACCGACTGGTGCGACGTGCTGCGGCGACTTGGCTTCTGCGTTGTTGTTGGGCGAGCGCGCGGGCGTCGCGGGGGCGGAGTCTGAGGGGGAGTCGGGCACGTCGAGCGGCGATTCAGCGCGTCCGGGCGGCGAGGCGCTGCCCGGCCGACTGACGCCGTTGAGCGCCGGCGAGGGGGGCGCGGGGGGCGAGCCGCGCGCGGGGGGCGCGGGGGACGCGGGGAGCGCGGGCGCCGCGTCCGCCGCTACGCACACACGCACACTCACACACATGCCGACGCAATGCACACACGTTTACACTTACGCAATGCATTCTTGAAGATTGTTTTCAGGTCACAATATCTTTTATTTGTTTTGACGTGAATAGTGGCAGATAATTCAGAAAAGTGATGTTTACAAATCGGGGGATACAGTTTGGTGTTGCAGCTACATATCTATTATTTACATTCAAAATTTAATTACACCCCATGATAGATGAAGATCAAATAATCACTACGTTGAGTGAGGACTGTGACGCATTGCGCGCGGCTAAGAAAGGAGCGCGGCCATTTTGAAATCGTTTCGTTATGCTAAATTAGCTCAATTAAAGAAACTTGTTCTCACGGCTTTTGACCTACGACACAGAAGGAAATTCCTACCGAAAATACTAAAAATTAATTTATTAACAACTTCCACAAATGTTAAGTGGAAGCAAAGCAAAACCAAACAGCTATCAAATTGAGAATTATTAGAGATTTAATTTTGTAAAACGTATTCTACAAGTATGCATTGCTTAAGTTTAGTTGACAAATCCATTATAATCAATATGAAAATAAAGTATAATAACAGTGGTTATATGGATTTAACAACTTATAAAAACATTATATTTAGTTACTACCTTTGCAGAGTTACACATAAGATAAATTATGCTTGATAAGTAATAAATACAATTCCAAAGAAAACCTACAAATGGTAGTAATGTAGTACAACGAATTCGTTGCAGCCAGTTGCAGTTAAATTTAGTCATTTTAATAAGAATCATTAGGTAAGCGAACACTACGATATGTAACGTTTTGACTTGTGGCGGGCTAGGAAACTACAATCTGCCAATTTTTAATTTGAATAATTAATACGATAAATGAGTTCCAACTACTGAAAAAAAAGAAGAAAGAGAAAGGTATATTTGTGAATTGAAATGTAATTTGATACAGGTGATGTTCTACACGTCGATAAAGTTACATATTTAATTAGATTATCCGGCTCGAAGGACCACTGTGTAAAGTATTAATCACAATTTTATTTATAAAATATGAAGTGTTATTATTTACAGATTCATATTTGTGGTTTATTTGTAAAAATCTAAGAATTTCCATCTTATTGGTTACATTTTAACAATAGCAACTGAGGTCGGTTATGCACGAAATTTCTTTAATTCGCTGAATATGGATAAATAAAACCGAGCTTTACTAATGCACGAATTTTAAAGGTATGGTCGCAAGCAGGGGTCAGTTATTACTAAACACTATTATTGTATATATCAGTGGTTTTTAACCAGCCCTTGTTTTTGACGTGTTATGTATACGTAGGTTAAAGTCCCGTATTAGGGTAACATAAAAAAGGGCAGATTGCAGTTGCTGCGGATGTGGCGGATGTGGCGGGTGCGGGGGCGCGGTGTACTCACGCTGCACGTTGTTGGCGGCGGGCGCGCTGCCGTTGTGCGCCGGCTTGCGGTACGAGCCGCGCTGGCTGTCCGTGGCCAGCTTGTCCGTGATGGCCTCCAGCTCCGCGTACACCTGCAACCATGAAATATCCATAAGCCTCGTCACCGAACCCTGACCTTTGGCCTAACTAAAACATTTTAAAATAATAAATTTATACATATAATATAATAAATATTAGGAATGTCAGAAAACCTATTACCCCATATCATCACGTAAATGTAGTGAAGGCGATAGACGGAAAATGCAACAGAAGATAGGCCGCATCTTTCTGATACCGCTCAAAAAAAATTGCTTTCTGATACCAACTCAATCAAAAAATTATATCCCCGTAGGCAATCTATCGGCCAAATTAATATATATTTGTTATGGAGTAGAAAACATGAAGGTTTAGTATATTTATGTATGCTTATGTATGCCTACCAATTTAATACAATATCAGCTTATGAAAATTTATTCTGATTCTGACTTAGATTTAAATTGACAAATCAATGAATTATGTTAATGAAACGAGTATATTTTGAGCATTTACAAGGAACAAATAATATTAACTTAAAAACATTATTTAAATTTTTCTTGCCAAAAGTAAACAGACATATCCAAAAACTTACACAAGCATAATATAAACTTATAGCGTTATAGCAAGCACTTGATATATATATATATATATATATATATATATATATATATATATATATATATATATATATATATATATATATATATAGCGTATAACAGCAGTTGATAACTTTTAAAACTTAAAAATATCACCGCTCATGTTAGCTTATAGAACAGATGCCTTGATCGTTAAATTGTAGTCTAGAAACAATAATCTAAATTAAAAGTACATATATGTCGCAGGTTTATGGTATCAAGTTTTTGATCAAAAACCGGAAGAAGACAAAGTTATTACTTAATCTTGATCAAAAACCTGAACTTGTGTTTAGGTTTATGATAAAATTTAAGCTTAAATAAGCTTGAATAACTTTGTCTTCTTCCGGTCTTAGCCTAGATTTTTGATCTAAAATTTGAGTCTAAGTTTTTGATTAATAAAACTGGATTTTCTCAGGTTTATGATACCATAAAGTAGTAAATTTGTCTTCTTCACAGTTCTTGATTAAAAGCCTAGGCTTTTGATCAAAAATCATGTTTTATCATAAACCTGCGACATATACATAATATATTATTACATTAAAACAAAAGCGGACGTACCTTGGCGGTCTCAGCGTGGAACAGCTGCTCCGCGGAGAACAGAGTCTGCAGGTTGTTGACGTAGAAGAGCACGCGCGAGTCGAAGAGTGCGGGCAGCTCGTCGTGCAGCTCCGAGTTCAGTATCTCGTACGTGCGCTTGGCCTCCTCCAGCTGCTCGCGACCCTTCGTCACCTGGAGGCCACTCACTCACATTCAGCCAGGTATTCAGAGGCAATTTTTTTGTAGAATGGACACTAATGGTGACAAACAAGCTCACAGTCCAATCTACCTACCAAGCTTATGATTACGGCGATTTCTCCACATTTAGAAGAGGCACACGTCTATCATTTTGTTTATACAGTAAAGGTGACAAGCGAGCACACAGTCCACCTGATGGTAAGTAGATTCTGTGGCCCATAGACATCTGGGTACATCTATCCTCGATTAAGAATCATAATGCAAATGCGTTGTCATCCCTGTCAAAAAGAGTCTGGACCATATTACAGCTTATAAAAGTCCACTGCTGAACATATACTTCCCCTATAGATTTCCACATAGGGAGGATTTTGCCATAGTTGCCACGCTTGGCAAACGGGTTATGTCAAACTTATTATTTATAATTTTGAATTATTATCGGGAAGATACCGCTGCCCATCTTTTATTATAGGATAGGGTGACAAACGAGCACACAGTCCAGTAAGTGGTTGCTGTGACCCATAGACATCTAAGACATCTGTCCTCCACCCGTGAGGACTAAGATGGAATGCCCCTTTTCCAGTAAAATGCGTCTCCAGTTCTCTACACTCACCATACGAAATACAGCAGTGTGAAGCTGCCGTTTTACGTTGGTATTCTGTGAGAGCGTGGTCCTTCCCCGGTCGAACTGACCCATTCGTGCTACAATTATACTACTAATATAGACTTAATGTAGAATAATATGTTTATATTTCCAACTAAACTATACGAAGTTATAGCCTTAGTCCCCCTGCTGACCACATGCTAAATCTCATTTTCTTTTAGAACAGAAAAACTGAGACTTTTGTCCACGAAAGATACATATATTTAATTTCTCAGAGTTACAGGCTATCATATAAAATCTATTATGAATTTCATTTTCAGAACAGAAAAAAACTGATAGACTTCAGATGTCCTCGAAACATATTTAATTTCTCACAGTTGCAGGCTTCCTTATAAAAATCTATGTTCATATCATGTTGTTTTGAATGTTAATATACCTTAACGTCGTCCCTTCTCTTTGCAGCGTTGGCCTGTAAGTTCTGGAAACTGTGTCTTTGTCCATCGTAGTCAACCAACTTACGACCGCGTTTCTCGATCTTTTTCTGAAATATAAACATAAAACAATTTTAAATAAATAATATGAAATACATCGCCAACAAAAATGATTCCAGGTCAAACTACTAGTCGTGTTTTGTATATTAGATTTCTCGCTGACACTTTTATGTCTTAAAAACTCAAATTATGATTTATTCAAAGGATCCGCTATCCGGCTTTTTATACTTATACTTATCTTCACGCACAATCCCTGACAGGGTAGCCAGAGAGTACAGATCGCCAAGTGTCACGATCCTTACAAACCTCTTTCGCTTCTTTCAGATTCATTATCTTCTTCATGCATGCACGTCTAGGTATCCGAGTACTCTTGACCCTACCCTCTTCGAGCAATTTGCTCACATGGTCTTCAAAAGTTAGTCTCGGTCTACCTCGACACCTTTTAATATTAACTTTCGCGCTATATATTTTCTTCACCATTCGGTCTTCACTCATTCGCTCAACGTGCCCAAACCACCGAAGCACGCCCTTATCAATTTTTGTGATAAGGTCATCTTTCAAACCTGCCATATTGCGAATCTCTTCGTTACGCTTTCGGTCGGCCATAGTAACGCCGCACATTTTACGAAGAGATCGCATCTCCACTGCATTCAACTTACTTTTATGCTTCTTCTGGCATACCCAGGTTTCACTGCCATATAACAAAGTGCACTCTTCGCTACGCCTTGCCTTTTGACTAACGCAGTCAGGGCACCATTGACGTTGTTCCCGGCAGCGACACGCCTGTCCACATCTAAATCACATCTTCCATCCCGGCTAAAAGCACTCCCCAAGTATACAATTTCATTTACCTGTCTAGACATTCCTGATTTACCCATATTTCACACTTCGTTCTCTCTTCGTCCCTTTCAAATACCAGAACCTTAGTTTTATTAGCATTCAAACGGAGACCTTATATTCACATTCCTCTTTCATACACGTGACTAATGCCTGCAGTTCTGCCTCTGATGGTGCAATAAGCATTGCATCATCAGCATACAGCAGACAATTTACTTTTATGTCACCCAATTTCACACCCAAACAGCTATCTTTCAGCTTCTGTAAACAGCTGTCGAGATACAGTATGAACAGCCAGGAAGACATGACACAACCCTGCTTTACGCCCGTTTGGACGTTAAACATGGGTGACAGGTCATGCCCTACCCGCACACAGGCTTTACAGTCACAGTAAAGAGACTGCACAGCCCTTAGCAATCGACCATCCACACCATACCCCGGCAACAGTTCCCACATTTTCTTCCTTACAACCTTATCAAATGCTTTCTCAAGATCCACAAAAGCACAGAAAATCTTCTGGTTAGCAGCCAGAAGCTTCTCCGTGATCATGCGGAGAGAAAACATTTGATCCGTGCATCCTCTTCCAGGTCTAAATCCGCATTGTGCCTCCCATAGAAATCTTTCCGATTTCTCTTGCATCCTACGTGTCAAAACCTTCGAGTAAACTTTACTTGCTAAACTGGTCAAGCTGATCGCCCGATAGCACCCGCAGTCAAAATCCGGCTTTTTAAATCAACAAATTATAAGTAAATTAGTAACTTTGAATTTAAAATATTATCTTTAGCGTTTACCGTTTTGGGTTTGCTATTATAAAATAAATGCATATGATAAATATTGAAACAAAATATAATTTGAATAAATTAAATAATAACGGTTTTAATATAGAGTGGTGGTCATAGAATTAAGAACGCTTCATACAAAGACAATTTTAATGTTCATAACAAAAAATGTATTACTTCCTGAGAAATATTGGCTATACTGTAAGTTAGTACATTTACAAAGTTAAGATAATCGAAAAAGTAATTAAATAATATGTATTGTTATTCTCCGATTTACTGTCATTTAAATATTGTTTGCATGTGAATAGGTGGGAAGTTGTACAAATAATTAAGAACGAGAGAAAGACTTAATAATAATATAAACAATAATTTATTATTCGACTATAACTAATAATTAATTGAATAATGTAGTGTTTTAATTCATTAAAAACTTTTCTATAAAATAAATTACTAATTAATTTTAGTGGTATGTCGTTGGCTGTGGTTAACTGCATGACAGCAGCGTGGCAACGATGCTATCAAGTTTTGGTAGGTTTCTACTTAAATAGAATTTCACTCTTCCAAAAACGAGTCGTACAGGTCATTAATGTTACCATACCGTCTGTTTGATAGTTTCTATATGACTTGTCACCACAGGTAGTGCTCGATCGGATTAAGATGTGGGCTGTTCTATGGACTAATACAGTTATCTGTTAACTGTCGAGGATCTTTTTACAGAGTGTGCTGTGTGCTTCGGGTTATTATCGTGCTGGAATTTACCGAGGGATTGTTATCTGCTTATTCCAGCATACATTCTTCGAGTTTCTCTTAGAATTGATATTGGTCTATGTTACCTTGTATCAGTCAACGCGAAAATGCAATAAAAATAGTAAACAAGAATATCGAATTCCATTTTCAAAATTATGAAAAAAGAACACAATATTTTCGTTCTTATACTCTACCAAATCTAGGAATTACCTTTTGACAGCTGTCACGTTTATTGGACTAGGCATTCCAACTGAAAAATCGTTATCTGCAATCGGAGATATCGATATGGAATCCTTAGAGCTAGTAATCATTTACAGTTATATCGAGATTAATACCAGAATAAATTAGAAACAGATAATTGAAAACACAAAATTTATCAATTCCTTCATATTTATTGCTTACTGCCGGTTTTGACAGATGAAGAAATATAAATAAAATACTGCTCTGGCTTAAAAATTTATTTCACTACTAGTTGAGCTGTCGTCACGATCCTCATCGTTGTTTACATTAATTATTACTTAATTTTCTGTAATGCATTCAAAATGAATTTCTTTAATAGTCGTCAATAACAATTTTCTTTGTTATCTCCATCACTTTGGCCCAGTCATCGCATGTGTAGTAAGTAATTGTATCTTCTAAAAATCCTCCTCCGGCGGATCCCACATGGAAAATTATGAGGCGCCCACCTTCTCACAGGCACGTGTCATCTGTCCATGAATATAACGTTCTCCCAGTCAGTTATATTTTTAATTTCTCGAAGTGTTATTTTTTGCATTCATGTCTTTAAGTAATTATTTTATGTTTGTCAATTTTTTTTTGTATCGGAAACCAATTCCCGTTCATATGGTTGTCAATTACCCTATACTACCATTGTACAAGCCGGCATCTTCTAAACTTACTCGCAAATTCAAATAATTTATGCAACTTCAAAATATTTAAATTAACAAATAATAAATAGAAAAATGTAAAGTTTCGATTATTTGAATATTTTTATCGATTATTCGCATTAGCATGAATTAGTATCTAGTAGAATCCAAACACTACGGTAAGATGCATAACGACATATCATTGAAACAACGTCAAGCATAAAAGTTCATTCTGGTAATTTTTTTATATTTTGCTTTATTTGAAAGATTAGAATTTAAATTAGTGATAAAGAACTATACTTGTTGTAATGAAATATAGATAACTTCATAATTCTTTGGATTTACGTAAAATGTTATTTTAAATAGTGTGAGTATGCTTGTTACAAAGTTATTGCGGAATGATTAACGTGAAACGTCAAAAGGTATTTGTTAGATTTGATTGAGTACAATATTTTTTCCAGACAGTATTCCGGTAATGAGTTCCTATGATTTAATGAATAGAAAAATAAAATGGTACATTATTATGACAAGCTTATTACACTAATAATACAGAACAATCTTGTGAATATTCTAGAGTATGTTTAGAAACAAAGTGTTCACTGAAATGAGGGTGAAAACATAGTATTGGCTTTGTACTATTAATCGTTCTTAATTCTATGACTATCAGTGTATAACCCTGAGAAACTCGCTTAATTGCAGATGTTTATGTATTAATTATAGTGAAGATAAGTAAAAGGTGAACTTCCCACAGCCTAGCACAGGTCATCTCTCATTTGTGAGAGGGGTGTGGAGCAATATGAAAGCTTTGCTGCTGGACTTGTTGGTGGACTTCACATGTCTTTTAAATATTTTGTCTAAGACATACAAGTTTTCTTTACCGTCGTGCAAGTGATAAATCACATCGCCCCGAAAGAGTCTCCACATGGACCTCTCCCATTGTAGGGAGGCTTTGTTCGTATCGTAATACCAAACCTACCTTTCAGTCTGCCTATCTGTCTGTCTGATGGTTACACTACCGTCTATCGACATCCATTGGTTTTTCAGCTTGCTAAAATAATATATAATCAATCAAATCAGTTCCAACTCACCCTAACTTCGGGGAACTGGTTCGTGTATGTGTTAAGCGGTATGAGCACTTGATCGCCGAGCTTGTGCGAAAAGTCCTGCCATAGCATCTCCATGTTCTGAGCCTGCACATACAATAGGTCGTGGCCCGACCAACTGCTCTCGTATACTTCCGTTATCGCCTCCATCAGGGTCTTTGATGCTGTTTGTACCGCTGGAAATAAAAAGGAATCGATTAGCAGCAATCTAGAACTTTCTTTTCGTTACATATTTATGTAGTCGTAAATCAATTTCTTCTTTCGTGTTTAGTGACATTCCTTGGGGACCACAGCGAAATAGATACCATAATATTGGTGGATTTAAAAATCGGTGCTTGCATGAAAACCAAACATAATTAAATTATAATTCCAGTATTTTGTTTTTATAACATGTTCCGACCACATGTCGGATTGCCGGCGTCTCGCACCGTTAACATAAACGTTCGAATTAAAAATAAATTATATTTTGTTCATTAACATTTGAGTAAAGTGGTGATTCTAAATTCAAATTTTATTCGAAATGTACTATCGTACAGTTCTCCATAGGAAAGTTCATGTTTGTATTATTACGGTAGTAGTATTTTTGTTGTCATACGCCGTATATTTAACTTTAGCATTGAATTCGTAATAAAGATATCAGCAGTAAAATCGGAGTAAGCCGAAGTGGCAATGGGCCGGCCATAATGCTCGAAGATAGAGCAACACATGAGGAAGAAAGATTCGAGTGGCAGCCTTGTACCGTTAAGTGAAGTGTAGGACGGTTCCCCACTATATACAGTGACCTGGTAAGACATACAGGAAGACGATGTATGCAGATGATTTAGAACCGTGTTTGGTGGCGTTCTTTGGTTTAGACTTATGTTCAACTGTTTTTATACGTGGTAGAGCCATGATGCAGCTATATTAGTAGTATAGTTGTAGTACGAATGAGTCGGCTCGACCGGGGAAGTACCACGCTCTCACAGAATACCAGCGTAAAATGGCAGCTTGACACTGCTATTTCGTATGGTGAGTGTAGAGAACTGGAGACCCATTTTACAAGAATTCCATCTTAATCCTCACGGGTGACGACGCATCTGTATTTTGATTATTTATTGAGGATACATGTAGATGTCTATGGGTCACAGCAACTACTTACCATCAGGTGGTTACATATTAACAGTGGTAGAGCTACGCGGCAGCTTTTGCTGTCGCACGGATGGGCCGGCTCGAATCGGTGTGGTACCACGACTTCACAGAATACCAGCGTGAAGTAGAGGTTTACCTCTGCGTTTCGCTTGGTGAGTGCAGGTGGCCGGAGGCCCTTCTTACTGAAAATGAGGCATTCCATCTTAGTCATCACGGGTGACAACGCATCTGCATTTTGATTTGTAATAAAGGATAGATGTGGATGTCTATGGGCCGCAGCAACCACTTACCATCAGGTGGACTGTGTGCTCGTTTATCACCCTATACCTACTATAAAAAATACTGTGGACTTCTGAAGGGCTGTAACGATGATATAGTAATAATACTAATAATAAATCGTTTATGTTCTCATCAGTCATCACATATAGCCTTAAGATAAAGAGAAGATAGGCTGACTGATCCGAAAAAACACAGGTTACACAGGTCACCAGTGTAACAGGTTTATGATGAGAGTAATTTCGAAAGACGGAGCCATATGATGGCGATGTAAAAGAATCCATCATCCACTCCTGTGAGTGTTGGAAAAGGGTAAATTTACATGGTCTCAAATCAACATTGTAATATCCACTACAAAACTATTATCTTTTACATCCAGAAGAATGATTGTGTAACTCTAGTGGAAATTATGGTTTTCTTCGTTATGCCGTTTGACGTTTGGTTTCTTTGCATTGTGCAAATTGATCCGTATCGATTATAAGACAATGTCTTTTTTTATTTATAATAGCGACTACTTTATTATTTATACTAGGGTGAAGTTTAGTAATGTGGCATCATTTAGATTATTTTAAATAATCATCCATAACCACTTGTTTAATCATTATTTTAGTTTCACAAAAAAAAATAATCTTAAAGTTCTTAGGATAAAGTACAGCTTAGATCACTCCTGGCATTGCTCTCTCAAGATTAGCCCGGATGAACCGACAGACAAACAGACACACATGTGTTAAGGTCGTGCAAATAACCCCCTCAGCTCAATGGGGGCAGGTTAGGTAAGGTAGTTATTTCGATATTACAGACACACTTCAGTTTTATTAATATGTTGAATTGATGTATAGATTTTATTTTATGTTAAAAATGTTATAATAATGAAAAAACAAAGCATATAGCAGTAATTCTCACCAGTTTACACAATCGCACTGCTAGTTGGCGTATGATAACAGGGAGCAATACCATATCTTTAAACTTTGTTAATGTTATCAGCTGCAACACACTTGGTACTGTGATTTTCAATCCCCTTATGGGGGGTCTCTTCTATGACAAATTTGCACCATAGAAAATCTATGCCGTAAATTGAATAAGATACAGGCTGAGGTTGAAGAAACAATAAGGAAAAGTACATTAGTCAATATTATATATAATCATAATTATAGAATAGGGGTAACAAACCAACACACAGTCCACCTGATGGTAAGTGGATGCTATGGCCCATAGACATCTAAATCTATCCTCGATTAAAAATCAAAATACATACTCGTATGCGTTGTCACCCATGTGGACTAAGATGGAATGCCTCATTTGCAGTAAAAAGGGTACTGGTTCTCTACACTCACCATACGAAACACATCAGCAATTCAGCATTAAGTTTGCCATTTCACGCTGGTATTCTGTGAGAGCGAGGGCCCACCCCGGTCGAGGCGACCCTATATAAAACTCTTCATTATTTTACTAAAACCGATTTTCTGCAATTAGTTCATCGCGCTCACCTCTTATACATCTGATGTAGTTGTTGAACTCCTTTTGCAAGCGGGTGGCCTGCTGGTGTTGCCGGTTGAAATTCTGCAGGTGCTCCTCGAATATGTCGTCTAGTGTGCGGTCCACCTTACCCAGGTTTTGCAGAAGCTGCAAAATAAATAAACACTTACGTTAGTTAGTTTTTTTTTAGTTGGAACTAACTATAAAAAGTATATCAAATGAAAGCAGTGATACGAGTACTTCACACCGAGCTATCTTCTAATCATTGTTTTTTTTTTTTTAAAGAATACAAACTAAAACAATACTGATATAGTTTTATATGTGACAATGTCATTGTGAAGCCGAGGCGAGTCGCTTGTGGACTTTACTTATGCCAATGGTTGACTCTAGATGGTAAACAGCACTATGTTAGCGCAACAAAAGCCTATTCACTCTTGCCTTGAAAACACCCATATTTTAATCGGACGAAAAGTCACTAGCAAATCATTCTACTCATTTGCTATGCATAACGAAAGAAGAAGCAAACCGTTTAGTAACCCAAGGTATGTCAAAGCCGTGGCCGAGCGTCTGGTTGTCCGTTCAAAAAGTCTGTTTAAAATAATTTGATTAAAGGAATAACTTTGACGACGTGAAGTGGACAATAATTGGTATCTGAATAAGTAACCTTTAATGAAAATTGTGAACCCAATTCAAAGAACTCAAAAGAATAATATAATTGTTAAATCGATGTTAATGCCCAAATACTCCAACGCTACTCAATTTTAAGATGCCTTTAAGTCTCGTGGTGTCTCTATCACTTTAAGTCAAAATGACTGTGACACCACGCGACTTAACGACATCTTAAAATTGAGTAGCGTTTGAGTAGGTATTTGGCCATTACACAGCAAAATTAAAGACCCGACTTTTTAGTTCATTGAAGTCAGTTTTTAATTTTTATTAAATTTTTTTTAAATACTTACTTAAAAATGTATCCCTTTCCGTTAAAATTTTGCTACACTAAATTTTCTCCATATTTTTACGCGATCACTAATGAAGTATGCCTAACCCTAACCTATTAATAATAAAATAACTATCTAAATCATTTCACAATTATTTTCTACCGACTTCAAAAAAGAAGAGGTACTCAATTCGACTGTGTTTTTTTTCTTTTCTTTTTTTTTTATAGAATTAGGGTGACAAACGAGCGCACAGTCCACCTGATGGTAAGTGGTTGCTGTGGCCCATAGACATCTGCATCTATCCTCGTTTGTGAATTAAAATGCAGATGCGTTGTCAGCCTTGAGGACTAAGATAGAATGCCTCTTTTCCAGTAAAATGGGTCTCCGGTTCTCTACACTCACCATACGAAACACAGTAGCATTAAGCTGCTATTTTACGCTGGTATTCTGTGAGAGCGTGGTCCTTCCCCGGTCGAGCCGACCCATTCGTGCTACAACTATACTATTAATATAGCTGCAGCATGGTTCTACCACGTTCTTTATGTGTGTTAACTCATAACTTTTTTCTGGGTGAACCGATTTTGATGATTCTTTTTTTATTTGAAAGCTGGTACTTCTCATGTGGTCTCATATAAATTTGATCAAAGTCTGACCAATTGTTTTTGAGTTATTCGTAATAATTTATATTGAAGTCGGTTGTACAAAATTATTAATTTTAAATTACATTTCTTTAATAAAGAAGTTACCTCCAACTAGGATTTTCTCTTATCGTGTAAGCAGTTAACATACATAAATTTAACAAGGACCCGGAATAATTATTTGCGGATCATACAAGCACCTTGTTCCGTGCGGGATTCCAACCTGCGGCCCTTAGCGCCGCAACTCATTACTAAGCCACTTACGTCAAGGAGCCTTCAAATCGCGTAAAATATAAAACATATACAGTCGAATTGTAAAACTCTTTTGAAGTCGGCAGAGTAGTTATCTTTTTTTTTATAGGATAGGGGCATAGATTAATGATATAATCTAAGGGATAGGGTGACAAACGAGCACACAGTCCACCTGATGGTAAGTGGTTGCTGCGGCCCATAGACATCTACATATATCTTCGTTTGCGAATCAAAATGCAGATGCGTTGTCAGCCGTGCGGACTAAGATAGAATGCCTCTTATCCAGTAAAAAGGGTCTCCGGTTCTCTACACTCACCATACGAAACACAGCAGCATTAAGCTGCTATTTTACGCTGGTATTCTGAGAGCGTGGTCCTTCCCCGGTCGAGCCGACCCATTCGTGCTACAACTATACTATTAATATATACCACGTAAAAAATTTCGTAGAATTAATAATAATTTGCGATAATATTATTTGGTCATTGTAATGTCATTGCTATTCAAGGAATACGAGAAGGGTTTATTTAAACAACAATTCACTCAATAGAGGGTAGCAGTCAAAACCGTTATTATTATTATCTACCGACATAATAGTTATCATCATAATTACAGAGCCGTGGTACGGTGGTAGCTCAGGGGCGTAGCGCTCGCTGTTAATTTAAGAGGCGACAGAGGGAAACAAATAAGGAGACCCGGCAACGTCTTCTTAGAAATGACTTAAAATTAAAATAAACTGCAATCGTGGCAACTATGGCAAATATCCCCTCTATGAGTTATCTATGGGGGGAGGCCTATGTTCAGCAGTGAACTTTATTAGGCTGTATCGGTAACGTTTTTATTACTTTATATGGTTTTCTATACCAATGTCCGGTTGTTCGTGAATCAATTGAGGTCCCGGCTGAAAACCAATGTTTTGGTACCCCACAGATTATCCCTGATCCTTTTTGATATCACACAACAGCATTATTACAAATATGTAATTTGTAATACGAATTTCTGTTTCTTAATGTTATATGTTGGTCGAATAAATGTTTCTTTCTCTTACTTTTTGCTGTTACCATTCTTTTAGGTGCTTAGATACATTATGATGGCATTGACGTACTAATAAAAGATTACACAAATAGTAAAAAGGCACGTATGTTATATGTTTAACCTTGACGAGGTGTATACAGCAGTTATCGTGACCGTGCAATCAAAATGAGCGTCAAAGCTGAAATCGTAGAAACGCAACCCAATTTGTCAGCTAAGGCGACAGTCTATCTAAAAAATTCATTTACGTACTTTACGTTTGCCGTCTAATAGCGTCTAATATAAAAAGTAAAAAGTGTCTCCGGTTATCTACACTCACGATACGAAACACAGCAGCATTAAGCTGCAATTTTACGCTGGTTTTCTGTGAGAGAGTGGTCCTTCCCCGGTCGAGCCGGCCCATTCGTGCTACAACTATACTATAAATATAGCTGCAGCATGGCTTTACCACGTAAAAAAGCTATGACAAATATCTCCTTTATGGGGCATTCTATGTGGAGACCTATGTTCAGTAGTGGACTTTGATAGGCTATAATGAATAAATGACTGAAAACATCTCAGTGATTAAGTTTGGCTTCGGTACTGTCCGTATGCAACTTATGTTCTTATTTGAATAGCCACTGCGATATTCGTAATTCCTACAGACTAATGTAAGGTTTTTCAAGAGAAAACTTCTTTAGAATCGTTGTGATTTGAAACTCGATGAAACGACAAAGCGACACTAAAAAGAGACAAACATAATAACAATGTGTAGGATATAGCCAAAAGAGAATGAGATAGAATACAGTATACAGTGTTCATTATAAATTTATTTATATTTTAATTACATAAACCCTACAAATATCCTACTCGTAATAGTCTGTATTCGTCTTATTCTCTCGAAGTTTAGTTTTTTGAATGTTTCACTTCTACCGGGTGTTAACTGCATACGTTTTTTTTTTTCGATTTAAAATATACGTATGCACAAACAATATAAAAATATATAGTGCTAGAGATTTTTGGCACCCTGTCAAAAACTGCACCGCATTAACATAAAAGTGAGGAGTTGTGAAAGTTGAAATACAGGCTAAAATATAAGGCGACTGTTTCGCCCACAAGTGTAACGTGTTTATCTATTTATATATACATTATAAGGCTTTCGAGGGCAAGAAACCGAGGTGCGAATACATCTAAGAATAAATTCCTAAATAATCAAATAAAAATATGAATTTCTAATGTAATAAACGAAGGGACAAATTTTATTATGTCTAAATAATTCGAAATAACCCAAGAAATAAAACATTGTTTTGTTACCTTCTTTTCATCAATTTATTAATTTAGGCCAGAGGTTCCCAAACTTTTTTTTCTCGTGGACCACTTACAAAGTTTTACTATTTTCGATATGCCAAAATTTTTGTTCTTTATTATGAACCCGGGACCTCATGATCAGCAATCTCGTTTACGACCACTAGACCAATGAGCCAGTTAAACAGTTTGTTATTACGTAGCTAATAAAACAAAACATACACACACGTACGTCAAGATTCCATTTTTGTCGGCTTAAGTAAATATTTTGTTATATGATTTGATAGTGCAATTTTGTAATAGTGAAAGAAATGCGTTTGTGTTTAATACAGTATCACGTGTTAGTATAAGAGTTGAGAAGTATTTCAGATATTACATCTTAGGCAATCAAGATGATCGTTTAAATAAACGTAATTGTTCTTAGTAAAACTAAATTACTTTATACAGAAATAACTTTTACGTAACCGGCTTACAAATGGTTTAATATTACGTTATCTGTTATCAGATTATTCAAACAGCGTAAAATATACAGCGTACAAATTTTACGTAAAAATAAATACAGATTACATTTTAGTCACTACGCCACACAATATAACAAATCAAAATAAAGTCAATTACATTTGAAAATATCAATTAACATTTGGAGAGGGCTATGGAGAGGGCTATGCTCGGAGTTTCTCTGCGTGATAAACTTAGGAATGAGGATATCCGCAGTAGAACCAGAGTAACCGACATAGCCCAACGGATTAGTAAGCTGAAGTGGCAGTGGGCCGGCCATACAGCTCGAAGAACCGAAGAACCGAATGAAAAACAAATTAACATTTATGTTGGGTATAATTAATAGAATCAGGCGTTACTTTGCGGAAATCCATTATATAAAGGATATTTGCGAAGTAAATTTTTGTAAAAGCTTTTATTTATGTTGGGTTACCGCAAGGCTTACACGTAGGAGCAATGACTTATAATAAATAAATTAAAAGTATAATAAATGTTATATAAAATAATT